CCCCCCCCCCCCCAGCGCCTACTTGCCATTCCTCCCACCCCAGGGCCTTTGCACAGGCTGCTTCCTCTTCTGGGAACCCTGAGCTCACTCCTCACAGTCCTCCGCCACAGCTCAGAGCGGGCCCGCCCGTCCCTCAGCTACCTCTCCCGCCTCCTGCCGGCCACCTGCCCCTGCGGGAAGCCCCCCGGCCTCCCCCAGGCGGAGCTTCTGCAGCCGAGAGGCTGCCTCCTCTCTCTTGAATGGATTAAAAAAGCAAAACTGAAGAGTTTTGTTACTTAATTTGTGTTTTCATCTCACACGTGAAATACAATCTCCAACGTCCTGAGGGAGAGCAGGGCGTCGGCTCGGTCACTCACAGCACCCCCACTGCAGCCAGCGCGTCTCGGCGGACATGCCGTCCTGCACCCTCGTGTCCCCAGCTCCCCGGGCCCCCACCCCTGCCCCGCTCTCCCAGCAGCTCCCCCCAGTGACGGCGGCCACCAGCCCACAGGTGGGCATGTGCGGAGGCAGAGGCGGCCTCACTCGGCCGGAGGGACTCAGGGGGTTCGGGGCTGAAGGAAGCCTGTGTTCCGAGGGGCATGGCTTGAGGGCGGGGCCTTCTGGGTCACCGCCTCTGGGATGCCCTCCAGACTTCCTCTGGTGGCGCCTTTCCAGTCTTGCCCAACTCAGGACTTCTGCGCTTGCCTCAGCCGCCCGCAGGAATGAGGTGCCGCCTGGGCCCCCGCCCTGCGTCCTTGCAGCCTTGACACTGGGGCTGCCCGGGACCCCGACCCCGGGCCCCGCCCCTGCGCCCCCTGAGCAGTTACCCCCACCTCCGGGACTGGCTGTCGGGCCCACGGGGAACCGTGCTGGGTGGCCTTGGTGTCACAACGCAGGGGGCGCACGGCCTGACCCATGGTCCCTCCCCCGGGCACGGTGCCCACCCAGCAGACTGTTCTGAAGAGACACAGAAGGTGTGACACGCGTCTCATGGGGGCTGCTGCGGGCAGGGGGCACGGCTGGGCCTTGCTTGCCTCGTGGGAGGGGACCCTGGTGGCAGCGCCGGCAGACGTGACCCCCTCAGTGCATAGAGGACACCCATGTGCGTGTGTGGCCACACCTCCCGGCTGGAGGGCAGCGAGAGCCCTGCACGCCTGGCATCTCCCCCCTCGGCCTCCCCTGCCGGCGCCCCGTGGCCCGGGCACTGTCGCCCCACTCCTCCCTGGGGACCCAGGCACAGCCCCCTTCCCTTCATCCCGCGGTATTTACGGGACACCGAGGCGCCAGGGGCAGCTCCCTGCTGGGGCCATAGCAGGTGCGCCCCCCGCCGCCCCTGCCCCCAGCGGGGAGGCAGGGAGACTGGAGAGCTTTTCTGAGCTGTGGGCTCGCCTGAGGGGTCTTCGCGGAGAGCCAGCCTGGGCTGACGCGCACCCTGCAGAGGCGGCCGTGGGCTCAGCTGCGTCCCCCCGAAGTCCTGGCCCTGGTGCCTTGTCCAAGGAAGGGGGCTTGGCCGATGCTCTTACGGTAAAGACCTTGAGATGGGCTCATTCTGAATGAGGTGAGTGTCCTTGTAAGACACTGAGAAGGAGAGATGGGGACACAGGAGGGGCCGCGACGTGGCCACAAGCCAAGGGACCCTGAGGATTATCAGCAGCCACGAGAAGCTAGACGAGGTAGGAAGGGCTCTCCCCCGGAGACCGCAGAGGCGACGGACCCCGCCGGCAGTACCGCTCAGACCCTGGCCTCCAAGCTGCGGGAATAAATTTCTGCTGTTTTAAGCTCTCGGCGTGCAGTAATCTGTTGAAGCTGCCTTAATAAACTAGTTCAGGTGATGATCTCCCCACTGCAGGAGGTACGCAAGCGGAGGGCTGCGGACCGTGGGCAGGGGTGCTGTAGGGAGGAGCAGCCCTGGGGACTCAGTGCATCCATCCATCATCTGAAGCAGCGTTTCCTCCAGGCCAGCGAGTGACAGGGTCTCCCTTGACCGTGTCCTGCTCCCCGGGAAACAGGCTTGGCACAGCCCGCTTGCCCGTGCACACCCCGGGGAGCCCTCCCCGCTCAAGGGGCCTCGGCGTCCCGGGACGTTAAGCTGCCCGCATGCGGGGACCCTGGACGGCAGGCGACCCGTCCCTCCACCCTCAGACCCTATTCAGCTGGGGGTCGCTTTAGATTCTGACATGAGGGGCCAGGGCACCCGGGGACTCCTGTCCAAACCCCGCCATTCAACGCTTCACAAGATCACCTCCAGCCGCCCCGGCCCGGATAACAGGCGCCTGGGCGCCGGCCCACCCCCCCCCACCCCCCCCCCCGGCCCCTGCAGCCGGCAGCGCCGAGGGAGGGGCCTCCTCAGATACAGCTGCTCAGGGTGCAGGCACTTTGCAGCTTCCCAGGCGTTCTCACCCCCATCGCTGACTTCCCGCGGAACCCCAACCCGGGCGCACGCGGGCCGGGCCGGCTCCCAGAGCGCCTTCCGGAACCCCTCCGGCACAGGCGGGACGCCCATGGCCCTCCTGGAACGCTAGATACAAAGGGGACCAGCCCGTGTCCACAGCCTGGGGGAGGGGCCCCGGGGAGCCCCAGCAGCAGCGGGAGGGAGGGAGGCCAGCCCGCTGCCCGGCCCACGGCTCCGCGTGGCGCCAACACCCAGCCCGCTGGCTTCGAGGCTCCGTCTGCAAGTGGTCAGCCTGGGGCAGGGTCCCTCTGGGCGGGGGAGGCGGAGTGGGAGTGGGGGTGGGCACGCCCGCCCTGGGCAGGGAGGGGACAGTGGGCACCCGCCCGGGGGGGGGAAGAGGAAGCGCAGCGGGCGCTTCCCCGGGACGACGCGGCCCCGGAGTTTCCCCAGGTGTGGCTGGCGGTATAAAGGGCGCCGGGAGCCGGGCGGGAGCCTCCAGGACCGCGGCCGGTGCACCTGCCCCTGCAGCCCGGCGCCGCCGCCGCCGCCGCCGCCATGGTGAGCCGCTGTGTCTCCCCACGCCCCCACCTGGCCCTGCCCCTACACAGAGGTCGTGGGGAGGGGGTCCGAGAAGCCCCCCAGATCTGGGGACGGCAGGGAGCCGGGACCCAGGAGCTCTGGGAGGCTCGGGCTGAAGGGCTGGTCCCTGTGGGCCTCAGTTTCCCCAGCTCCGGAGAGAGGGCTGTGCCCCATCTTTGCGCAGGAAGGAGGGCAGGCTGGGAGGGTGGTGAGTGCCCCCTCCCCTGGGCGCCCCCTGACCTGACCACCCGATGCCCACCCAGCAGCTCCTCCCTGGCTTCTTGCTTCTGTTCTGGATGCCCGCCGGCCTGGCCCACCATGGCGCCCAAGTCTGGGGGGACCCCCACACCCACGGGCCCCCGCGCTGCTACTCGGCTGAGGAGCTGCCCCGGGGCCAGCCCCCCCCGCATCTGTTGGCCCGTGCTGCCAAGTGGGGGCAGGCTCTGCCCGTGGCCCTGGTGTCCAGCCTGGAGGCGGTGGGCCGCAGGAGGCGGCACGACGGCGCCCCCGCTGGGACCCAGTGCCCAGTGCTGCGGCCTGAGGAGGTACTGGAAGCCGACATCCACCAGCGCTCCATCTCCCCCTGGCGATACCGGTGAGTGCCGAGGGGCCCCCTGGGTACTGGGGTCCTCGCTCCGCGTGCCGGGCCATCCCCGCCCCTCTCCGTGCCTCAGCCTCTTCACCTGTTGGATGGGATGGTCGCCCCCGGGCTGGCGGCTGGGGCTCCACCAGAGCAGCGCCCCCTTGGCCCTGTCGTGGGCTGCAGTCCCGCCCGGCTCCGGGGCCAGGGACGCCCGGGAAGCGTCCACGCTAGAGCCCCGGCCCGGGGCGAAGGGGGGGGGGGGGCGGCGCCGGGGCGGGCGGGGGGGGGGGGGGGTGTCTCGCTGAGGCCCCGCCCGCCTGTCCCCACAGCGTGGACACGGACGAGACCCGCTACCCGCAGAAGCTGGCGGTCGCCCAGTGCCTGTGCAGGGGCTGCGTCAGCGCCCGGACGGGCCGCGAGACCACGGCGCTCAACTCGGTGCCGCTGCTGCAGAGCTTGCTGGTGCTGCGCCGCCGGCCCTGCGCGCGGGAGCCCCGGGGGCCGCCCACGCCCGGCGCCTTCTCCTTCCACGCCGAGGTCGTCCGCGTGCCCGTCGGCTGCACCTGCGTGCTGCCCAGGTCGGCGCCCTGAGCCCCGCACCCGCCGGCCGGGGGCTCTCCGAGGAAGCCTCCTATTTATGTGTATTTATTGGTTATTTATTTGCCCCGCGGGGTTCCCGCGCAGGCACGGAGGCTCCGGGCCTCGGGGCTGAGGAGTGACGGTGGACACCAGGCACCGCCCGCCCGGAGGGGGACTCCGCTGGGCAGGCCCGTCTTGTGACTCGGTTTACCCATCTCGCAAAAACAGTTGGACTACAAGGAATCTTTTTATGCTTCTAGAACTTTCTTAACAGAAATGGGGTTTGGTGCTCGGTGCTCCTCTGGGCTCCCCTCACGCCCTCCCTGACCTCACGCTGGTCCCGGCCCCCCAAGCCTCCCCTCCGCACCCCCCTCCCCTGTATTTCTAAAACAACTATTCTAAGTGTCAGTGTGTCGTTAAATTGATAAACGCCCCGCAGAGCTCATTGCGGGAGGGCAGAGGGCAGCGGGGAAAGGCACCCTCCTCACCCTCACCCCTGCCAGGCCCTCGGCACCCAGCCAGTCCTGCAGCGGCAGCCGCTGGCCCTAGACTCTCGTGCCCTCCCAGGAAGGGCTGTGTGTGGCCCCAAGGACGGGACGTGGGAGGCGTGCCCTGACGCAGGCGTGGCCGCTGGCCCTGGCGCGGCCTTCGCACCTGAGGGGCTGCCTCTGGCCACATTGTGCGCAGGCCCTTCCACCCAGGGGACCTCCCTGCTGGATGGACCATTTTCACCCCTGATCAAGGCCAGCTGTGTTCAAACAAGCCCACGGGACGGGGTCGGAGTGACCTTTGTCTGGGGTTGAAGGACACTTTGCTCGGCCCGTATTTGCCGAGTTTCTCCTATGTGGCTGGCTCTGCGAGTCAGCCCGTGGGTGGCCGCACCGGTCGCCCTGCGGGTGAAGGGAGGCCGAGGGCGAGGGCCCTCACGGGGAAGCTCCAAACCAAGGGTCCAGGCCGCCCAGATGCCACCTGAGCCGGGGCCAGCTTTCCCGCAGGGGAACAGCCTGTGTCCGGGGTGCGAGGGGCCTCCCTGGGGCTGGAGCGACGGGAGGGGGCGGGGCGTGGTCCCAGGCTGTGGGAGGAGACGGGGAGGCGGGGGGAGACAGAGGGGGGAGCTGGGGGGAGGCAGGGGAGAGGCGGGGGAAGGTAGGGGGAGGCAGGCGGCGGGCGGCGCCCACCCTGGATGCACACAGAAGGCAGAGCCGGGTTGGGTGCGGTGTACACGTGGGGAGTCAGGGAGTCTGCTCTCCTTGGTTTATTTTGGGAGCCGCGCGGGGGATGGTGGAGACGCCCGTCACACGACCTCATCGACCACCAGGACCGGGTTCTCCTGGGGACCCCCGGGGACCCCTGCCGGCGCGGCCTCCTCTTCACTGGGCCTCTTCCGGGCCTCAGCCGGGGGCCGGGGTGGGGGGTTGCTGGGCGGCTGCTTGATGGTGCCCCCGACCTGCGGCCGCTCCTTGGGCTTGGACTCGATGGGGGTCCACTGCTCTCCGTGGAAGGCCGCCTGCAGGGCATGGGGGGCCCGGTCACGGGGGGCTGACAAGGCCTCCGGGGGGCCAGCCCTGCCCCCGCCCCCAGGAACAGGGCAGGACTTGGGCGGGAACCCCTGAGTCCAGAGTGACAGCCAGGACCCCAGACTCCAGCTGCTCCACTATGGGGGGGGGACCCCGAAAGCAAGGAGGGCAACCTGGAGGCCAAGCCACAAAGGCCGGGCCAGGACAGGAGGCCAAGTCTGGCGGGCCGGGCGTCGGTGAGGACTGGGGGGCCCCGGGGGGCAGGGGGCCAGCCTTTCTGCCCTGGAGCCTCCGGGGGGCACCCCCAGAGTCTGGCTGAGTGCAGACTCCCGGGCCCGGGGCCCTGCAGCGGGCGGGAGGGCCGCCGAACGTGCCCCACAGCCCCCGGCAGCCAAGCAAGTGCGGCAGTGCACCCCGCACGAGGCAGGACGTCCCACCTCCTGCCTTAAAACTAGCACGTCTGCCCGGAAGAGTAACCGCAGCGGATACGAGTGCAGACAAGCGCGGTCTGCAGGGGCGAGGGGAGGGGCGCGGCGCCGAAAACGCACCAACCAGAAAGCGGACACGGGTGAACCTGTGTTCTTCTGCGCAGGGAGCGATTTCACAAAGTTAACGGACCCTTAACGGGTGGGGGGAGCACTCGGCGTCGGAAATTCTCTCCCAAGGCCTTCACGGTTAAAACATACACGAATCCCGCAAAGTAACAAGAAGAGAAAAGCGCCACAGAAGAACGGACAAAGGACAGAAACAGGCCAATTCCGAGAGGAAGGAAGGTGAGACGCGAGCGGAAGCTGAAACCAGCCGTGGCCGAGAGCGCGCGGGGTGGGTCAGGCGGGGTGGGGGTGGGGCCTCGGGCGAGCTCCGACGCGGCAGCTCCAGCTCCGCTGCGGCGGGTCCTGGGGGGACCGGCCGCGTGCGGCGCGGGGAGGGTAGGGAGGCTGGATGCGGGCGATGCCAGCACCGCCTGTGGGGAGGGCAGAGCGGGTGGACGGACAACAGGAAGGGCTCTCGGAGCGGCAGCAAGGAGCAGGGGAGGGGCGGACGCGGCCCACAGCAGCACAGACAACATGCCGGCCGGCCCCAGGACCACGTGCAAACAACACGGTCATCGTCCAGCGCGAGATCGCGAGCACAGGCCCCAGAGCCCCTGCCCCGAGTCGCTGCCACGGGCGCCGGACACCCTTCTCCAAAGACAGCCTTACCACGGGGCCTTTGCACACATCCCAGGCAGGCAAACCCAACAGGGCAGCTCTGGAAAATGTCCGCGTGGCACCTGCTCCGTTAACAAGCTCCGAGGAAGTGCTCCTGACGGCGCCCCAAGTCGGAGCAAGGATGGTTTAGGTGACAAAAGAGTGACAACGGATGCCAATCTGGTGGGGCCCTGGCTGGCCGTGTGACTCCAGGCCAGCCATGTCACCTCTCTGAGTTTCTACTTCCTTACCTGTAAAGCGGGGACCTCACCACCCACCCTGTAGGGCTGAGGTGTAGACAAAGAGCCAGCGCACTTTATGCGAACGGTACATGGTGGCTACGGCCGTCACCGGCCCTGACACCGCAGGAGCAAGGTCATGGCTCTGCCTGAGCGGCTGGCTTCGGGGACGGCGGGGGCAATGCCCGCGGGCTAACCACAGGGTGGCACTCACCAGCAGATAGATGCTGCTCGCGATGGCCAGGCAGGCTGTCCCCAGGAGGGTGGCCAGCAGGAAGCCGGCAGGTACTGAGAGCCTGGGGAGGGGAGGGAGGGAGGGAGGTCAGAGGGCTCTGCAGCCCCGGCCCTTGGTCGGGCCTTGGCTGCCAGACCTCAGGAACGAGGTGACTGTAAGTGTGCGGGCCCCAGGACCTCGGGGGACTCAGTGACTCTTGGGGCGCTGGTGCTTGGCCCCCAGCCACCATCCCGGGAGGAAGCCGTGTAACCGTGGTGGCCGGTGCCCGCAGCGTCCCCGGCAGGAAGCACCAGACGCAGGCCCAGGGCCACGAGTAGAGCCGCCCAGCGGAGCCCAGTGAGCTGGGCCCTGAGTGTCCTTGCCGTGGGCCATGGGGCTGCAGTAAATCCTCACGCCCCACGAGATGAGGGACACGGGGCTGGGGAGCCTCGGGCAGAACCCAGGACCCGGGCTTCTGTTCGGAAGAGTCTCCGGGCGGGGACGGGCCTGAGGCTCGGAGCCGGCGGGTGCGGAAGGCGTGCTCACCCCAGGTGCAGGACGGCGCGGACGTAGTAGTTCCTGGAGAGAGGGCCCAGCACCTTCACCACTTGGGTCAGGTACTTCTGTCCGCTGGGCAGACGGGAGAGAAGACAGGCCGCGTCACACTCGGCGCCCCCACCGCCACCCCAGCTCCTCCGCCCCCCGGGACCCAGCAGCCACGGAGGCTGGGCAGGTCAGGCCCAGCGCTGGGGACGCCCCTCCCCACCCCCGCAGGGCTGGAGCACTCACCATCTCTCCATGGTGGACCCCTTCCTCCTCTTCCCCCGGGGGTACTCCAGCAGGCACACAAACACGCCTGCCACGCTGCAGGTGCCGTTAAGGAACAGTTGCGCTCAGCCTGGGGCCCCGGTGAGCCCCCTGTGCTGACAAGGGAACAGAGAGGTGCAGCCGCTGCCTGGGGGTCACACAGCTGGGACACGGCCCGGCAGGGTGTGGGCAGGCCTGGTCTCTCTGCTGCCTGTCCTGAGCCCTCGGTCCCCTGACCCCTGCCTTGGCTGGCCGGTCACCGCTGGGCAGGTCCCGGGGCGTCCGAGGGGTCGGCCGATACAAGGGGGACACGGAGGGGAAGCCCAGAACCCCCGAGGCCTGGGGCTGCGGGCCCGTCCGCCAGCCCTCACCGGGCCTCGGGGCTCACGGGAGTGGCCTCGGGCAAGTCCTCCCTGCTCCCAGCCTTGGCCTCCCAAACCATCACTGAGCGGGGTCCTGCCCTCCCCGCCCGGGGGAACGAGGGGCACAGGGGTGCGGCAGCGGTCTGCAGACCGCGAGCTGCTGTGTCCCGGGGGCAGCAGTGCGCCCACCCCGTCCCGGCCGCGTCCCGGCCGCGTCCCGGGCCTGCGGAGGCAGGATACATGGAGTACACGCCGAAGAACCACTTGGCGAACTGGCCGGCAGTGGCCACCGTGCCCCCCATGATGAGGACTGCGGGCAGAGGAGAGGCGGTTAGTGGGGTCCCCCTCCCTCGGTGGGGCCACCGGTCCGCCACCCGCGCTCTGCTCTGCGACAACACGTTCGCCCACGATGGGGACACAGGCAGGCGCAGACCCCGAGGAAGGAACTTGTGAGCTGGGGAAGGCGCGGCAGAGGGGCACCGGCGGGCACCGGCGGGGCTGGGGCCCAGCAGCGGCCGAGGGACCCCCGGCCTCAGGGCCCTGGCCTGCACCTGATGCCCGCTCCCCGGGGCTCTGTGACCCCTTGACATTCGGGGTGTCTGCTTCGGTGGACAGCTGTACCACGATTCTAGCTGTGGCACCCGGGCGTCCCCACGCCCTGCCCTCCGCCCAAATCCATCAGCCTCCCCCGTCCGTGTGGCCGTTTCTGCCGGAAAACCGCTGCTCTAGGAGGCACGACCTGAGTCGTTTCTCCCCCAGAATTACTTTTTTGTAACTTCTATGGTGGTAAAATACACAGAAAAGGTTCCGTTTTAAAGTCAACGGCTCGGGGATTTGAGTCCACACACGCTATTGTGCGAGCATCTCCAGGCGCCGGCAACCTGCCGAGGTACAAGTATGACACGGGACCGTGTGCGGGCGTAATCCTTCACGGCGTTCCCCCACGTGCCCTCACCCACATCGAGATGCCCCCCACCCCGAAGCCCCCGGGCCCCCCGTCCAGTCCGGGCTGGCCTCCGCGTCCGGCTCCCTCCGTCCAACACCCCTCAAGGCCGTTCATGCGGTTTCCTGCCCTAGGAACCGGCCACGACGGATTCTCCTCCACGACGGATTCTCCTCTCTTCTGCCTTCCGGTCATTGGGTTGTTTCGGGTTTTGTGCTGTTGTGAATAAGCTGCTACAGCTTGTCATAGTTTGTAACAGTTTTTAATAGTTCAGCCAACCCGACCGTGAACGTACGTACCTTCCTGACTTCCTGACCGTGGCGACAACTTGAAGTTCCTCTTTCTCTCTGATGAGGCCTTGTGACACTTTCCCGCCCCCGGCGAACTTGCTCAAACTTTCAATTTTACAATTTCTCTTCCTGGGTCACATGTGGGCTCCAGCTTTGCCTCCGCCTCACCGCCAGGCTGCCCGTCAGGATTAATCATTTACAGCCAGTCCCGGGCTCCGGGCTCAGCACCCCCCAACCCCCCCGCTGGCGGCATCCATCGGGGCCCCGGGACTCGGGCTGTCTCTCAGCGGCTCGGTTCTACTCCACCGCCTTCTGGCAGCCTTTCTGCGTGACGGGCGTGCAATCGCTCTGGTCCTGATCCACTTCTCTCCTCGGACAAATTCTTTAATGGCCTGTAATTTCATTACAGTGTGTCCAGGAAGGGATCTGCTTTCCGTTATTCTGTATTCTTTCTCCTTCAATCTGAGATTCCCCGCTTCTGCAAATGCTCACCACTACCCTCCCCTGCAAATGCTCACCACTACCCTCCCCTGCAAATGCTCACCACTACCCTCCCCGCGTCCTTCCTCCAGAGCACGACTGCCCGACCTCTGGACCTGCCCCTGCCCCCTGCCCTCCACCTCCCCTGCCCACGGGGCCGGTCTCCCCGCACCGCTGCACACACTGGCCTCTATTTAATAGCCCATCTGTGTCTCTGGGCTGTGGGCGTGAGGTTCCCTCAGCCCCATCTTACATTCCACTAACGCTCTCCTCTCTGTATAGCGTTCCATTCATCTGCTCACCTTTACTGACTTTATTTCTAGTGACATTCGCCATTAGCTCACTTTCTGCACTGTCCTGGTTTTGCTGTGTGATTCTCCATTCCCTCCCCTCCTTGAACAGCTGTGAACACACTCGTGCGCATGAACACGCGCTCACATCCACAGGTCTTGCAGAAGGCGCCGCGGCCCCGGCCGTGGTGGTGTGTGCCGGCTCCCCCAGGCCGCGTGATTCCTCCCACAGTGGGCGCGTGCGGGCCGCTGGCGGGGCCTGCCTTCCCGCGGGGGTCGCGGACAAACGACCTTGCAGGGAAGTTACACGCTGGCCTCTGCCGGGGGCCTCCATGTTTCTCTAGTCCCGGATCCGGTCCGTCGGAATGTCTTGGTCCAGCACAGGGCAGGGGAGATGCAGTCCTTCCCACGCACGGCACGGGCCTGGGGCTCCAGGGTTTTGCCTTGTGGGTGACTTTGTCCGTCCAGCCCTGGCTGCAGGTGGCACGCGTCCACGGAGGGGACCTTTCCCTGCTCTGTCTCTCGTGCAGGCGGGGCTCCCCAGCCGGGTCCAGTCACATACCCACACAGGGGCCCTGAAGTCCCACCGCGTAAGAGGCGAAGCCCCTGCCGGTCCCTATTCCCCGGGCACCCCCTCCTTGGGCCCCTGGACACCACCCTGAAACCTCATTCTGCTCTTCCCGCCCGACTTCCTACCCTTGTGCCAAGCTCTGCTGCACGTTAACTTCTTGTGCTCGCCGGGCAGCATGTGGGTGGGCTGGGAGAGGGCACTCAGGCAGCACACTCGCGTTGGGGGCCTGATCCCCCATCCTGAGCTTCAGTTTCGTGGCCGGCCATCAGCAAGAGGGGGCAAGGACACCAGTGAGTCACCGCAAGGCGGGACTGCTCGGTCACCCACCAAACGCCAGCAGACCCCAGCCGAGTGCAGGGCGCGGCCGGAACAAGAAAGGTGAGGCCGGGGCTCCTGTGGGACTCACGGTCTCGTCCGGGGACAGAAACACCCATCGGAACCAGAACAGGGTAACCCTGAGGCTACATCACGTCTGGTGTTCCCCAAAGACTCCTCCAGGCACGTGGCATTTTGAACTGAGAAACGGATGGAAAAGCCAGTCACCCACAGATGCTTCAGACAAAAGATGCCTCTTCAGCAAAGGCTCTTTGATCTGCTTGGGAGATCCAGGAACAGAAAGGAAGCCTGTGCGCGGAGTTCCGGAGGAGGGAGGGAGCTGGAGGGGCAGGGAAGGGAGGGGCGAGAGGCGGCTTCTGTTGTGTGCGCTGGGCAGCCACGGAGGGCTTCCAGCAGCAGGTGACACGGTCCGGTCAGACGGGGCTTTCCACAACAGATAAACCCGTGGGGTGTGACCGCTGGTGGGGCTCGCCAGGCCTGAGCCGTCCCAGGCGGCTGAAGCTGAAGCGTGTAGTGAGAAGAGAAGTCAGCCAGCGGGGAGCTAGGGGAGGGGCGGTGCCCTGGGGGACCCTCCCACACACCGTCTCATGTGATGATAGAGAAGGCTGAGCCCGGGCCTCGACTTCACAGTCCGCACAGTGGACGTGACGACAGCGTGGGCCCCACGGCCCTGCAGGTGTGAGCTAAGGCCAGGCCAGGCCAGCCTGCACGCAGTGGGCCTTCAGGGAACGGGGCCCCAGCGCCCACAAGCCTCTACTTCCGGGGAGGGTAGGAGCCGCCGGAAGGGGCAGGGGTGGCCTGCAGTGGTCTAGGGCATTGCAGCGGGCAGCGGGAGAGCCTGTGGACGGTGAGGAGCCCCATCTAACCGACCCACTCAGTTCTCAGCCACTCTGGATGCCAGAAGCAGGAACGACCTGTCTGCACAGGGAACAGGCTGCTGGGCTCCTGCAGTGTGGGGCTGGGGGGTCTTGGTCTACCTCTGACCCGTCCCTCCCCGGGTGGCTGGGGCCTCAGGCGGGTCCCAGCGGAACGGTGGTGGGCTGACACCGTCCTTGTGAGCACAGTCCCCCCGGGCACAGGCCCCTCCTTGCTGGGAAGAGCAGGCCCGGGTGGGAAGGGGCAGGAGACGCGTCTGAGCACCCTCCTGCCTCAGACCCTGGCTGGGACTCAGCCTTACCCCACCCAGTCCTGGGAAGTTCCTGCTTTTGGGCGCAGGGCTGGGGTGCAGACCTCACTGCTTCTTAACCAGAGAGCACAGGCGGCAGGGTGACTGGGGGCCCTGCCCTCCTTCCCCAGTGTCTGGGAGTTGAGCTGAAAGGGGCTCAGTCCGGGGATTTCCAGCCACCTTATAAAAGAAATCCCAGATGCCCTTCTGTGCACCTGGGGGCTGAGCCCCAGATGGAGAGCGGCTGGCACCCAGGACCACGAAGAGAGGGGGCCCCCCGCCATGGCTGGGCCAAAGCCCCCACTCCAGGGCTGCGGCGGGTAGGCGGGTGGGACACCTGCGGCCACTTGCCGGGTTTTCCCAACACTGGGGGACAGCGACTCCCCGGAAACTACCAAGGACGAAAGGCCTCTTCCCCTGGGTGCAACTTCCTCTTTCAGTGTAGAGGTCCAGACGCGGGTGGGGTAGTGAAGAGGGGACAGCTGGGGGGTGGGGGGCGCGGGGGGCGGGGGTCTCCGAGCCTCTCCGCAGGCAGCGGTCTCTGATCGCCCGCGCCCGAGGGCCGGCCCCTCCCCCGGCGGCA